CAACCCATTTATGAAACTCTCACCTTTGAGTTTTTGAGTTCCTTTGCATACATCACTCTCCCTGGTGCCATGAATCAACTCTCAGGCGTGGCCAAATTTCGTATGTTTGGCACAGAGCATCAGCTGCCCCAACCGACATCGCACGACTGTTAGGTTTCTGTTCTGACGAAGGTGTCCATCTCCGGGTTCCGAATAATTTCGGCGAGGAAGCTTTTAACTTATTGCACAGTATGACGAACATTCGTTCCGGATCCTACGACCACCTCAACGCCACACATATTCATAATCCGGCTATCCGATACTTTCACCGCATCCTCTGCAACACCATCTTCGCCCGTGACAGCAACCATAAGCTCAACTCCAAGGAGCTCTTCTTCATGCATTGCGCATTCACCGACCAGAAAATAAACGCCGCCCCATTCTTACTGGCTCATATTCACTCTATTTGTGCTAGAGGCGGAAAACCTTTCTATTTCGGATGGCTTGTCACTTCTCTTGCCATAGCCCTGAATTATGGTGCCGCTCTCGCAGATATGCCTTTTATGGCACCGGCTTTGCTGACTCTGGACCACTGCAAGGTCGCACACCTCATTTATGAGCGGGAGGATGGCAGATTCCATCCTGTGATCAGAAACACTGTTTATCATAACATCACTTTGCCTTGCAGGGACTGAATCGATCCACAAAACAGAGCTAACTGGTTGTTCGATCCTGCAGCTCTCGAGGGGCGTGTTCCTACTTATGAAGACCATCCTAATGCCCCCACAGACGAAATGCAAGAAGAGCTGGACAGTGCTCCCCCCGTCCACGACATTCCAGGAGATTCATCTGCACCACCTCCTATTACTCTTGAAGAAGTTATCCGCGCCATCCATCTGCAGAATCAAATGAGTGCCTCACTTAAAAGAAGACAACGGGGACAATATGAGTATTTATACGCACAAAACACTCAGATCTTGACTGGACAGTGGAGCATGAATGAGAGGTTGGACGAGGCCCTGTCAGAACTCAACGCCTTAAGGTTGGATGTCAGCACCCTTGGCTACCAGGACACTGACACAGAAGCCACTCCTACCAGGCGCTCTCGCACCAGGAGTAGAGGACGTGGCCATCAGTAGCTTTTCTTTATTTTCTAAGTAGTTTACTTTTTCTGTTTCATTTCTTTTCTGTTTTTTTTTGTATTTTATTTCCCCGCCTATATACCGCAACATTGAGGACAATGTCGGATTTAGTGTGAGAGAGATACCTTTCCATCTTCTATAAACAAGTAAATTTTTATGATATGTCTCAATTCAAATTCTTCGCTTTATTTAGCCATACCGAAATTTTTTACTTTATCTTCACATTAGCCCGACATACCTATTTTAATGAAATCCCAGTTGAGGAAGCCAAAAAGGAATCAACAAGATCGATACGGTTATGACATCGTAGACTTCCTACTTACGCGATCCGTTTCAATAACCATTATACCTATATCTTGAGTTTTAGTTCTAAAGTAACCCCTCGTAGTTTATACTAGCAGTCAGCACCGTCTTGACACAAACCACATGGAGAATCGATGAGTATAAGTGTTTGATGCCTGATCAATGAAATATCCTTCTTATCTCGCTGCTAAAGGAAAATAAATTTTGTGCACTAAAATACACGGTCACATATAAGAGTCGAGAAAATAATGAAGGAATCCACTGTTGGTTGGTTCAGAGGTATCTGGTTCTGAACTTGGTAGGGCGTGCTACGGCACGATCCCCCACAACCTCCAATTTGGATAACATATGTAGGGTTGCCACATTCGTGTACCAGACCCCGTGCTAAAAGGATCAAAGTCACTAACCGGTTACTCCACTACGTGCATGTTAAGACAAAGGGCTTAATGTGATTGCGCCAAAATGAAACCGGGTGAAATAGATACGAGGAACTCTGGGCAGAATTATAACGGAACTGTTGGATAGTTCGTTTGAAATGCAAGCCTATGACTAAGCTTATTGCTTATGTCATTAGCGTATCGTTAGTGTTTCACTCAAGTATCGGTCGAACTGACGAGGATTTCTCGAAATTGCTTAAAAAAATCAAAGGTATGTCATGCATGTGCGCTTGATAAAACTTGTCCGATCTTTCTAAATGACTATTTGCTTGAGGACAAGCAAAGGTTTAACTATGAGGGAATTTGATAACGAGAAATCGTATCATACAATTACTATATTTTTTATCGATTTTCATAATACATTAACTCGTTTAACTCCCGATTGTTCCGAGTTTTTGTGTCTTTTCACAGGTACAACATGTTTCAACTCAAATCAGTGAAAAAGGACCACATGAAGGAAGCTAACCAAGAATCAGAAGAAAAAGAACCAAATATGCAAAGTCTGCAGATTTTGTTGCTATGACGACCGTCACACCCCATGACGAGCGTAACGCGCTCACATCTTGAAGGACGCTCGTCACACATCATTGACGAACGTAACGCGCTATTTAAGCGCATTACGACCGTCACCTCCTCATGACGACCGTCACACGCTTAAAGCAACATTATGCATTACAGGAGACGTGAGCAACGTAATGGATAGTTTTTTTCTCCTGCAATTCCTCAACTTCCAGCAACGTACATTCTGAGTCTTCCTCCACTCAAGCTGTTCCTAAATTCTCTCAACTGCAAAATCTTCTTCTATAAATATGAGGCAGTTCAATGGATCATGGTCGGAGAATTTTCTACAGAGCCAAACTTCTGCTTTTCTGCATTATTTCTATTTTATTTGCTTTTGAACCATTTTATACCTACTGTAACTTTTAGTTTCCAGAATTAGTTTCCAAAGTGTTAGTTCTTCATCTAAGAATTAACATGGTCATAGATTTCAATTAATTGCAAGGAATTTGTACGCACTCAAGATTACCATAGCAACATTATTTACAAGTTTTTATGCAATTGGTTTTTATTTATTCTTATGCCATGTTAGTTATTTTTATGAATTATATTTTGCCTTGCATGATTACTAAATATACTATGTCCGGCTAAATTCATTTGTACCGGTATGTGACTCCTAAGCACCGAAGGAATTCGGTGATAACTTGGCTAAAAACTTTTATAAAATAATTTCTGGTTTCCAATTTCCATGTTTAATTTAACTACCCTTGTCACGAGAGTGAGCGGATATTTAACACGATTTTTCCACGAGAGTGGGAAATTAATTAAGGCAAGAACCTGCATGCGGGAGCTGGGGTTCGACCCAGATAGTGGTAACGAAACATTAATTTTTAAATACACGAGAGTGTTTTAACAAATTAATTAAACTCAAATTGTTTTCAAAAAGTGTTATTAAATTTAAAGTGCATCCACTAGGTTTAGTAGCATGACTTATTTCATGAACACGAGAGTGTATGTCTCAGGTTTTTAAACAATTCGTTTTTACCGAAATACTTTATATGCCAAGCGATTCACCGAATTCCCGAAGTCCGACTATCACATACCGGTATAGCTATTACTCTTGTTTTTAATTAAACTATTTTCCCCCCTAAAACCAAATATTCATCGCTTAGTTAAACAATTGTAGCATTAGATCGTACGCGATTGATCCTCAGTCTCTGTGGGTTCGATAATCATTTAAAACTAGAACGACTAAACTGTATACTTGCAGTTAGTATCCCAATAGACTCATAAAGTCCCGATCACATGCCATGTATCATCAAAGACACCAACCCCTGCAGACCTAATGAGGCTTCCCCTTGAGGACCCGGTTGAAAGGGTCAGGGCAAAATCCTTGACATCCTAGACAGAAGAGGAATGTCGACCAACTTCAAAGTGTTCAGCATCAACTGAAGTGAGTCAGATCCCCCTCTTAGGTTTAATTTTGTTTTTATAATTATAATGCACACTTCTTCTTTTACATTTTCCCAAGGAATGGCCAATACAATTAGAATAATTACAAAATTCAATTAATCTCTCATATTCAATTTTAAAAAAAATTCAAAGCCAACCCTTTCAACATGGTTTTATACCTTAAATTTTTAACCAACCCTTTTAACCATGGTTTTACATAGTTCTAGGTTTATTAGAAGCATAACTAATGCGTATTGGAATACCAATGCTACTAGTAATAGCAAATAGACTTATTTTTTTCCTCCAATACTCTTGAGATAGTCAATGAATCCTTATCTAAACTTGGGTCAAGGTTTGGTTACTAGTGGAAGGAACGAAGTCCCTCTTCCTAGGAAATAATTTCAATAATCCAGAATTTATATTTTATGAGTTACCAAATCCAGCCTTTCAAACATCTTCCAAATTGGAGAAAGAAAACTCAAAAAAATGTTTATCTAAAGAAGTGATATAATCCATTGTCTAATGGAGTTCCACGGTGAGAGGACTGGAATCCTTAAGCCAAATGATTTTTCCATTGAGATTGTGTTTACAAACTTCTAAACCCAACAAGTATTTGTCTTCAAAAATGGAAATCGCAAGTTTATCCCCATTCACACCAGGGATTGGTAGTTAACTCAAAGGAATATTAGAAAAGGACTTAACAATTTTAAGTTTAGTTGCTTCAACAGTTTTGGCAGTCAGAGAGAATAAGATCATTTTTTTTTTTGGGAATAGAGAGTGTATGAGTGACTTGGCCATGGTTGTGGAGCACTTGTGTGTTTGAAATTCGTTGGTTGGCAAAGTGTGCTCGAGGAAGAAATTATTAATTTGGTTGACAACATGTTGGGGTTTATGAAATATTAAATATAGAGGAAATTATGGATAAGGTAATTTATTGTTTTACAATATTTTAATTTATGTCATATAATTGTATCTTTTGATTTTGATATCTTTGTTTAAGATAATTAATTCTACATAAATTAAATACTACTTATGTTGAACTTCCATTTTTGACAGCTATGTAATAAAATATATAGTAAAAAAAGCATGGAATTACTATGAGTTGTATATATCTGAAATTATATATTATTTTCTGAAAAATATTATCAGAAACAAATGTTATTTGGATTATTTAAATCAGAAACAATAACTAAATATTATTTGGAGGGTATAATACACCGCCACATTTACATTTCCATGCCTCGGGATAGGGCTCTGGGTCTGTCGAATCAATTGGTGGCACTTGAACAAGAACTGCTACGCATGGAGTATATTTTAGACAACGATGTTTGCAATCAGGAGGGTTTGATGCCTGAATACTTATATCAGATTCAACAAACATGAGGCACCTAGAACCTGCAATGAAAAGATAAACGAATGTAATATTTGAATGGTTTTAAATTGGGAACCGCTGGCAACAATATTGCGGTTGTAGCAGTGTCCGTATCAGACTTCAATTGTAAATCACACTAAAACTGTATTATAACACTATAACACAACATCATAACAACGCAATGACTGCATCCATCAGTCCGCATCCGTATGCAATATGCATTGTTTGTAAAAAATTATTTGATCTATTTTTTTTCTTATTTATATCATAAATTTAACGTATGTTTAAAAAATATTTGAGATATTCGAAGTAAACGTGAATTGTAATTGTTAATAAGATATATGAAAATTTCGAGAGGAAATAAAAGACACGGTGAAACATAAAATAAATAATAAAATATATTATTTTTTTATGGATAAAAAACAAATTCGTGCTGCTGCCGCAACGATTGTAATCCACATTGCAACTCTCACAAGCTGCAACCACAGCGACTACAATTGTAATCGCATCCGCAACCGCGCAATAATTGAAAGATTGATTAAAAAGATAAATACCACTACATGGAGTGGTTGAGGCAGTAGTACATGCTATGAAAATTGAGAGCATGAAAAAAGAAACGTAGAAAATATGGATTTTGGTGATGAACATAGTGGTATTTCTCATTTCCTTTTTATCTTTTTGAATAGAAAGAACAGATATTTCAACTATGACATTTTCATTAGATTTAGAGTATATATATATAGTAATAAATATTCTCATTTAATATCTATAAATATAAATTATTATTTAATTTTTTACTAAGTATAAAATAACTATAAGAAAATTATAACATGTTCAAAATCATATGAATTTTCTAAAAGATATATTTTAAAAATGATTTTTACCTAAATATATTTAAAATAGTTTTATGTTTAAGTGATTTTTAAAATATATAAAATAATGTTTTATAAAAAGTTATTAAATCTTATTTTTTATTTTATACATTTTTAAAAAAATATTATATATTTTTAGTACATAAGCATGCAGTTATACAAAAACATCTTGTATCTTATTTTTTATAGAAGTAATTTTATGATATAAGATACAATATTTATAAAAAATTTCATTCATTAATAAAAAATTAGATTTTTAAGAATATTATAAAATAAAAAAATTTAAATAGTAAAATTATTTTTTATAAATTAAAAAACTAGTTTTGATATCTAACAACATAAATATACATTATGAAAAATTATAACACGGTCAAAATCACATGAATTTTCTAAAAGATATATTTTAAAAATGATTTTTACCAAAATATATTTAAAAAGTTATTAAATCTAACTAATATCATGGTTGATCACGGCTCATATGCTGATAAATATTCTCATATAGTATCTATAAATACAAATTATTATTTGATTTTTTATTAACTATAAGATAACTATCATTTTTGATTACGGCTCATATACTAATAAATATTCTCATATAGTATCTATAAATACAAATTATTATTTGATTTTTTACTAACTATAAGATAACTATCATTTTTTATCACGCCTCATATACTAATAAATATTCTCATTTAGTATCTATAAATACAAATTATTATTTGATTTTTTACTAACTATAAGATAACTATCATTTTTTATCACGCCTCATATACTAATAAATATTCTCATTTAGTATCTATAAATACAAATTATTATTTGATTTTTTACTAACTATAAAATAACTATCATTTTTGATCACGCCTCGTATACTAATAAATATTCTCGTTTAGTATCTATAAATACAAATTATTATTTGATTTTTTACTAACTATAAGATAACTATTTTTGTTGATCACGCCTCATATATATATATATATATATATATATATATATATATATATATATATATATATATATATATATATATTAAAAACATTAACGGTGAATTTATAATACCCCAAATTCTATAAAGATGAGTATGAAAGACTAAAAGATAAATCTTTCCATGTGAATCTAATGGCAATTAAGAAAATATTAGTAGAGATTTGAGGAAATGGTTAGAATTGAACCAAACAACAAACTAGTAAATATTGCATGGTTGAAAGACATTATGGTCATTATCCATATTAAAAGAGGGACTTAAGACTTGTTTGGAAAAACCATTTCTTTCCAACATTTCTAAAAAAAATTATTTTTGTGGAAGTTGGAAAGTAAACACGTGAAAATTGGGGAGGTTTAGAGAAGTTCACCATCTTCATCATCTTTGATATGCATGTGTGTGTGAAACTTGGCAATCATGAAAAAAGAACAAAGTTTAAGCATGAAGATCTTCATCACCTCCATTCTCATCATCATCTTCATCAAGTTCAGAATTTTGAAGGGTTTAGAGAAGAGAAAGAGAGGGAGCACGAATTGGAGAAGAGGATAAAGCATAAACCTCAAGCTTCATCATCAACATGTAAGTGCAATTGCAAATTCAAATTCCTTGATATGTCTTCATTTTAAAGGTAATAATTATTTTCTTGTAACTCATAATGGAATGTTTTTTGATTTTTTTTTAAATTAGACGAAATTACCTTTGTTTTACATATTAATTTCATGTATTAGAGGTCTGTAATGCGGTCGAAAATGGCGTTTAAAGTTGGAAGTCTGAAATTTGTAGTTTTGAGTTGCACAAAAGCTTAGGAATGAATATTGAAGTTGTGATCATCTCAATCTCAAGGTGAGTTCTTAGTTAAGACTTTGGGGGAATTAGAATTTAGGGTTGCATGTTCAAGGGAGGGTTTTGGGTTTGAGGCTAAAAAATCATGTTGTCATGTTATCAATGTTGCTTGTGAAGCCATGGTTTTGAATTCAATGTTCTGTTTTTCATTGTTTCAATGATTATTAATTGCTTCTCTCTTGATGAAATTAAGGGCTCGTTGAAATTTGCTAATAACATGAGTGATACATTCCACACAAAGATGAATTGATCACTCACTTGTTGAATACATGTCTTAATTCCTTGATTTCCATGGATACCTGTTTAGAAGTCAAATCATGCATTGTTGATGATCATTAGTATAACATGTTTAAATTTATGTTTCATGCTTTTGATTGTGTATGATGTTGGTACATGTTAGAAATGAGTTTAGATTGAAGGAAATATGATAAAATAGGTGATTTTTGGATTCTAGTCTCAGTGTAACGAATTACATACAAAGCGTAACCGGTTACCTGTGAAAAAATAGAGTTTCTGGACTATTTTTTATGCATGTAACCGGTTACATGTTGAGGTTATAGTTTATAATGATACATATAAAATAATTTGAGTTGGGTGATGGACTTTTCGCTTTCTTCTTCTTTATTTTCTTAGTCTGTGAAGGAGTGGGAGGAGTGTGCTCATCGTCTTCAACCTCCACTGAAATATCGTGGGTGGTTTTCTTTTGTGTGAAGATTTTGGAGGTAAGTGACTAGCCTGGAAAAATAATGTTGTTAGAAAAGTGATATAGTGCAAGAAGCAGACAAAATCTCAAATGATACCTTTGATGCCTTTGAATTTTTGGTATTTGGAGTAGCACTTTTTGTTGAAGTGTTGGTTTGTTTGGAAGCTTCAGTTGAACCTCTCTTCGAGATGAGTTGTTCTTTTTTGATGGTTTTCTTTTTGACGGCTAGAATAATGTACATGATAATATTGGTTAGTATCAGGTTTAAAAGAAATAACAAAGACAATCGAAAGGACCAAGAAGATCCTTTGGTTCCACACCTTCACGTGTCGGAGAAATAATGGAGATAACTGATAATTCATAGTGAAGGAAACCTTTGAAATTGTCCAAGGTATGCTTAGTCAAAATCACTCGTTTAGCAGGTTCTTGAGACTCTTATTTTAAAAAGTTGAGATAATTCCCACAAACGAACCAGTTTGGGTAAGGAGGATAAAAAGCAAGGACAAAATCAACGCTAGGCAATTTCGAGAATTTTGGTCGTTGAAGTTTGAAGGCTAAGTCATATGTGTCTTCAGGTTTGACACAAACAAAGATGTTTAAATGAGGAAGCATTTTAGTACATTTCTCTTTTAAAACTTTTGTTGCATCAAAAGTGGTTCGACTAAGGTTGATTGGATTATAGACTGTTTCAAAGTACTTTTGAAACGCCTAGATTTACTTGATATGTGTGTGCTTACTTTTTTGGGTTAGATCTTGCATACATGCAAAAGCTTTTGTCAAATGCTGGCTGAGAAAAGTGGTGTCGAACATGTCCTTTGAGTAAATATCTTTCCACCAAATGTCAAAACTCTTTGAGCAGTATAAGGATGGTTGGAAAGAAATGGGATTAAATTCTGCAAAGTTAGCATGATAGGCCATATGTTTTTTTAAGTCTAGGAAAAATAATTTCTTTCCTGATGTGCAAAGTTCACATTTCCTTCCAAAGATAGGTTTAGGGATCAGTTGACAAAAAGCCCAAATTGTCGAGACACAAAATTTGGTTGATAAGCAAGCATGCAAATGTTGCTTTTCACATGCATGATCCTAGAAACAATCAGCTTAGGGAGTAAAAAGGCCTTTCAAATGTCGACAATTTATGTATCTTTAGGTGAAATGTCATAAAAGGGATCTGGTGAACCACTCAGGGCCATGAGACCTATTTGCAAAAGGAATCATCGAAGGACTAAAGATATGGCGTTTAGAAAACATCATGACATACTTGGTAAAAACACTCTTGGAAGTTGTTTGCATCATCGTTGGGAGTTAGTCGAAGCAGTCTAGTAGACCATTATGGTCGAATTAGTATAAATTAGGATCTTAGCGTTAGGACTCAGTTTGTTCCCATCTTTGTACAAATTACTCTAAATTACTCGAAGTATCAGTGTTCGAGAAACGATTTGTGAGAATGTACGTACGATACACCAATTTTATGCTTATTATCATTCATGTTCAATTGAAGTTTAATATATTCCTTTTAAGTTTAAATTAAAAGTCTTTTACATACTTGTCCTTTCTTTAAAACGTTATATTACAACCTTCGAAGTAACAATCAAAATCACTATTATTTAAAAGATCATGAATGTTGTCGAAAATATTCGTTGTTTTCAAGAACAAAAGTTTGAATAAGAACACACATTCTTAGGTTCAATCTGGTCGATCCTACAAGTCACCAATCTTTTCTTTAATTTGGAAGACCATCGATTATTTACCAAATTTCACGGTAAACAAATTGGCACGTTTGGTTGGACCTGTGTTCAATAAACAAATATTTTGTTCTAGTAAATTTTTTTGAAAATCTTCATCATTCTTTTGTATTTTTATGCGTTGTATGAGACTTAGGAGTGAAAAATTAGCCACAAACAACAAGAAAATACCTAAGATAAAGTACGTTAGAAAAATGGCAAACCAAATCCAGACAGGTAATCATAATCCTCCTAACAATGATGAAGTACCACCCTAGTCACTTCAATAGGGGGAACTATGGTTTCTGTGCCTTTTTCAGAGGCTATACCGTCTTCGACGAGTTCGACACCAACGCAGTCAAACGTTTATACTGGCCCTATTTTGAAGCATTGGAAATATAGTTAAAAGGGCTATCCATATATAGAATAATTTTAGTTGTGTGATGTATGTAAATATAAGAAATACTTAATTTACTTAGTACTCAAATTGATTAAGTTGTCTAATACATATATATTGAATTTAGTTGATACACCAATTGACTAAA